GCGTTTTTTAAAACACTGGTTTTAACATTATGATTCTGGTTTTCTTTTATTGATGAAAGAAAAAAAAAAAAACATTCTGGCACTATAGTCAACAATCAAAAAATGGAAACATATTATGCTGCTTCAATTCTAGGTGTTGGTTCCTGATATATCAGAGTTTGCTGAATTCATTTGCAATTCATTTTGTGAGCAGACTGTTTTTTGAGGAGCTCTACTTCATGTTCATGCGTAAATACACATTATATTTTACTATCTATAGTGCACTAGGATTACCTCTTAACCTTTTCATTAACTCTTTTGCGAGGGCTAGACTAGACTCTGCGGTAAAAGTTGCCTTTGGTCAGTTTTTTATTATGATGGTTCCATTGTGTATGTTTCTTAAAAGTGTATGTCAATTGTGCCAATCATTATAACAATCTAGATTTGTGTAAATTGTTTATTCTCTGGTTTTTTGCTTCACTTTCTTTTTGAGAACTTCCTACATTCTTTCCTTTCCTTTGTCAATGTTTCATTGACATCTGGTACTTTTATGTGTTTTGATCTTTGTATTAACTCTGTGCTTTGTGAAAATGGAAACAGTGAATGCTCTGCGTCAAATTGCATCTAAACTAGGGATGATCGGGAACTTCAATGTGGACCGCTGTAGCAGCGGAGGTTGGGTGCATAGTACCACAATAGACAGGGAGGCTAATGTTACATGCAACTGCACCTTTGTGAGCAACACTGTTTGTCACATTGAGATGATGTACGGATCATGCTTTTCTTTATATTTTGACAAAAGTGAGGAAGAACTATCAATTTAGTCGAAACGAAGAAGCCTACAATTTTTGGGAGCACTGGACATTGTCATTTACTGATTAACTTGATAAAATACGAAATGAAAATTCTGTAGAATGTCGATTCTTGAAAACATGTAGGACTATTAGTGAGCCAAAAGAAAAGAAAAAAAAAATGTAGGGCTTATCTGTTAGGTACCATGGGACACATGCACGGAGATACACTTTTCAGAAAACTGTTGTCATCCTTCATAAAATTCAAGCTGAGAGAATTCTTGATGAATCGTTGGGTGGGCATTGTAATGATCAGCAGTATCAACTAGGGAATGCAGACTCATTTTCATTCATATGGATATATGGGTATTTGGGTGGTCCGACCAACATATCTCTCTAACTGATCAAAACATCCCAGCCTTTCCTTCAAGGCCAAAAACCCCTTTCAAGATGAGAACTTCACGATATTATGAGTTGATTTCTTTTCTTCTTTTCAGTTTGCATGTTTTACTTCTGTTCTCATTGCATCTTTCTGCCCAACTGGGTGTCATATTAGTGGTTTATTTGTTATTGTTAAATGAAAAGCTGGTTGAGCACATTTAGTCACATCCAATAGGACTGGTGTATTATGATTCACCTTTAAGAATTCTTGGCTTCTAATCATCACATTTAGCATGCTCTTCCAGGGCATATGCTCATCTTTAAAAAAAAAGAAAAAAAAATCAAAATAGCAGCTTCTTAACTATAAATGGAATGGGATGTTATCAACAAGAAAATAGGAAGAAGAATAAGGCTAGGTGATTTTTTCACATGCACAAAAGATTGGTATGCATTTGTATAACTCACACACGAGGCAAGTTTCTTGCTAGCAATGATGACAAAAGCCTGCAGTTTTCATGAATTCTTATAGTTGAGGGATTCGTTTGACAAGAATTTATGATTGCGTTTAGTAATTTTTAAAGAAATATGGTTTTTTGGGTCCGTTTTGTTAAGAGTGTTTGATGAAGCCATTTGTGATTGATTCTTTGGATCAATGGTCAAAACAAGGTTCGAACTGGGGACGTGCTGTTCCAAACTCCAAGTCATCTGTATATGCTCGTCTTTAAAAAAAAAAAAAAAAATCAAAATAGCAGCTTCTTAACTATAAATGGAATGGGATGTTATCAACAAGAAACAGGAAGAAGAATTAGGCTAGGTGATTTTTTCACATGCACAAATGATTGGTATGCATTTGTATAACTCACACACGAGGCAAGTTTCTTGCTAGCAATGATGATAAAAGCCTGCAGTTTTCGTGTATTCTTATATTTGAGGGATTCGTTTGACAAGAATTTATGATTGCCTTTAGCAATTTTTAAAGAAATATGGTTTTTTAGGCCCGTTTTGTTAAGAGTGTTTGATGAAGCCATTTGTGATTGATTCTTTGGATCAATGTTCAAAACAAGGCTCGAACTGGGGTCATCTGTGCAGACTCAAATGAGTCTATACAGTCATATTATTAAAATATAGGAACTTGCCGACTTTGCACCTTGCCAATTCCGATTATCTCGGGCCAGTTCACCAGATCAGCTCGTCTTTTAGAATACCTGCTTTGGATTTTTTAGTTGATTCAATATCATTGTCCTCAAGCTCTTTTTCATTTTTGTGGCAGTTCTTGGAAGGCCCAAAATCTATCTGGGATAATTCCTGAAGACTTTGTTAATCTAACTCACCTTAATGTACTGTAAGTGTTCAACATCCTTAGCTTTGTATTTATCAATGGCCTCAAATAGCATCAATACAAGCGAAGTTGTTATATTTATGAATGAATCCTTTGAAGTGAAATATTCTTTTCAGTTCAGGAACTAGTCATTGGTAATGAATTACTTGTCTATTTGAGATAATATAAACTAGTTACATTGTATGTGGCATGTGTTAGGTCTAAAACAACCTATAATTCAACAATGAAATGAAATGGCCTTGAATCCTTTTCACCTGTTCTTTGTCATGCATTTTTTTCATCTATTAAGTCTATGTTCTATTTTTGTACATGTACCCTTGAAGAAGAAGGCTTGATATAATATGTGTTAGCTGGGGCTCCTTGAATGGCAGTTTTCATGGAGCTAAGGCTGAATCTGGAAATTGTTTCTGGAATTAAATCATGATAATGTGGGTTCGGCATGTGTGCAAATATTTTTGTTTTAATATTGAGTTAATTTCCTTGTATATGCATTTCAAGTGAGTGTCATTTGTTACATAAGTTAGTCGTTTCTTCTTTATGTCATCCTAGAGTTTCTTATTTTCCTATGTTTCCTGTGAAGATAGATGATTCCATGGTAGTTCGACAGCAAGTTTATGGGTCAGCATGTGTAACTTCACCCTCACCACCACTCATGTACTATAGGGGTATTTTCTTCTTCTAAGTTATATATTTCTAGACTTCATTGTATGTCGAAGGCCCTCTCATGTGTCACGATCCTCTGAATTTGGAGGTTGGATCTTCTTTAATGTAGTATTTTGACTGCAAATTCAATGTCCTGCTGAGCTGGCCTACCCATTTTCTTTAATAAAACTGGCATGACAGTAGGTTGTTGGAGAGCTTCTCCATTACCTTGGTTTACCTGGGATCGGCAGTTGATAGGATGATGGCCAATTGGAATGCAACAGAATTAATTTGCAAGTCAAAAACTGAAGTTGTTTCTTCCATAGTTTTGCTAAGTATTAGTTGTTTCTCGAGATATGAAGTCTTGATTATTTTCCTTGCTTCCTTCCAATGAACAAATCGACAATCTCAAATATGTGCATGCTTAATAAGTATGCATGCTTCCTTGTTGTGAACAAGTTTATAATCCCACTATGATCTCCCTGTCCTTGAAACAATGATTTCAGGCAAGTGTGCAGCACTCGTCATAATAATACAATTGTGGTGGCTTTAATTGTTTAATCCCAGCTCTTGGAACAGTTGATGAGGCCAAATTATCTTAGCACTGGTAGAAGTCATCCTGTTGAATAACGTCTTTTGAGAAAGAATTTCAAAATTTTTTCGTGCTCCTCAATCTTCGAGGCTTTCATACTTTTTCTCATGAAAATATTGTATCTTGTTGTAGACTTTGTTATCTAGACATCCTTGAAAGTTAGCATTCAGATATCTAGAGAAAGCCTATGGCATAGTACCTCAAGTTTTAATTAGGTAGGTGTTGGAAGAGAAAAGAGTCTCCAAATACTATATTGATTAGGTAAGAGATACATATGAGGGAGCGCTAACTAGTGTGTGACCAACTATTAGATTGACGAATGAGTTTTTAAATGACGATAGGTCTACATCAGGGGTCAGCGCTGAGCCCATACCTATTTGTCTTGGTTATGAACGACTTAACTATGCACCTGAACGATGAGGTACGGTGGTGTATGTTGTTTGTGGATAACATAGTTTGTATTGATGAGACCTGATGTGGCATCAACACAAAGTTAAAACTTTGGTGGGATACTCTAGAATCTAAAGGTTTTAAAATTAGCTGGATTAAGACAGAGACTATGGAATGCAAGTTAGTAATAATAGAAGTAGAGACGAGAAAGTAGTTAAGATCGACGGCCAAGAAATACCAAAATGAGTTCACCTTCGGTATCTTTGGTCGATAATCTAAGAAAATGGAGAGATTGACGAAGATGTCTAGCATAGAATGAGAGATGGGTAGGTACAGTGGAGATGTGAACCTGGAGTTTTATGTGATTTCCGCTTATCAATTAAGTTGAAGGGTCAGCTGTAGGACCAACTTTGCTTTATAGGGCAAAGTTTTGGGCGGTCAAGAAACAACATACCCATAAGATGAATGCAACTGAGATGAGGATGTTGATATTGATGAGGGCAAGAAAAGAAGGGATAGAATTCGAAATGGATACATTCTGGAGAACTTAGGTGAGGCTCCAATAGGTGATAAAATGAGAAAACGTAGACTGAGCTAGGCTAACCATGTGTAGCTCAGACTTAGTATGGCACCTGTTAAGGAGTGTGAGTTGGTTCAAGTGTAAAGCTTGAAAAGGGTAAGTTGTTGGCCCAAAAGGACATGGTTGGAAGTAGTAAAAAAAGATATGGGGACTTATGAACTCACTGAGGATATGGCCCTTGATAGAGCAGAATGGTAGACAAGGATTCGTCTAGCCGATCCCAAATTGTTGGAAAAAGACTTTGATGATAGTGATGATGGTGATGATCGCGATATCCATAGGACTCTCTATTGAACATGAGATTCCCTGCCTTGGGTTGCACTTTGAGTGTACGTTTGCATGTTTCCATAAGTCTGATGCTGGTTAATATTCCAATTACGGAAGAAAAGGGTTTTTAAGAGGATTTTATGTTAGCATCAGAAAGGGGGATTTTATGGTAAATGCATTATTGAACAGGTGACTCTCTTAAACAGTGTATTGGACTAAAATCTAGTTTTTCTGGAGTTCAAATGAAATACAATAATGGTTGGAGTTACTAGAAGTGAGTGGTCTGCCCAAACAGGTGCTGAGTATCAGAAAATTCTTTATGTGAAGTAAAGTCTGTTTCTGTTAGATTGCTCATGAGTCTGCTTATAAACCCAATGGTGAAGGTAATGTCTAATCTGATCATGGAGGTGTTTAGGCTCCCAAGTAGCATAATAAACATATTTGTATCATCGACTTCTTCTGTTAGCATGCGTCTTTATCCACTTGGATTCTTTGGTATTTGATATTTGAGCATTCCACATTGAAGCAAGATATCCAAGATGTATTTGTTTTGAGATTGGAAGATACCTTTCTCTGACCTTTCTTTATCAGTGCCATGGAAGAAGTTTCTTTGCCCATTTCCTTGACCTTCTTACCTCTATTTCAATGAGTTATATTTTCTCGCTGCTGGGATATTATCTTTATGTTATATCCCTCGAAACTGAGGATGGTAGGACATCTCCTTCATGAACTGTCATTCTTATATTTGGGCCCTCAACAACATAAAATTTTTGGGGATAAGGTTAGACTACAGCATTTGTTGCTACTCCTAAATTAAAATTTGTTTGAAGGAATACTAGTAACCATGAGTTACAATAGAGAGAGACGAGTACTGACAATGCTGAGTCTAGGGAATGGTGGAAGGGCCATCTGCGAGTTTGACATTTTTGGGTTTTGAGAACCTGACAACCAAGCTAGAGTTCAGAGGAGTTATAATCTAGTCAGTGGCACCATAGAAGATAGATCTGGTAGTGCCTATAAATTGTGTGTAGTTCTTTAAAGAAGAGGAAAGCTTAAAGGGTCAGTCACCGTGCCGAGAAAGAATCTAGTCAGTGGCACCATAGATGGTAGATCTGGTAGTGCCTATAAATTATGTGTAGTCCTTTAAAGAAAAGGAAAGCTTAAAGGGTCAGTCACTGTGCCAAGAAAGAAAGTAGGGACAATGGCTGTTCTGGCTATGAAAATAGTAACTCAAAAGAGTTAATCTTGATAAGGTACCTCATGACTACAAAAGGTTTTGGTGGTAGGAAGCCATGGGCATATTCTTTGATAAATTAAATTGCTGTACTCATTCTCAAATTCCATGCTGTGAATGCACAAACCGCCAGATTATTGAGGTAGATATCATCACTTCATTCAAAAGCATGTAGTGAAGTACTATCATAACATAGTTTATAATGTTTGAAGATTGTCTAGCAGATATTATGTTCAACACCTCATTTGGTCAAATCTTTCTACTATGCATATGCATTTATCTAGCAACAACAAAGAAGGTTATAATTGGCATCGCAAGAGACTCAAAACAAATGTGTAGGTCCATTTCAAGGTTGGAACTACCTACTCCAACATAGAGATGCAAAATTATCTTGAAAAAATTGTCTATTTGGAAAAATCAGTGAATGCATAAAAAAATTGGACGAATTTGGGCTAGTTAAACTTTGAATTGCTGCTTTCTTAATACCATGTTGTCATGGTGATTGAGGTTGCCTTTTGCAATTCAAGTTTATTGGCTCAACGTTTTAAATAATATGTCGCACACACATATATCTGAGACTAGAATTTTGGAACTGACTATGAAATTTTTTTATGCTTGACAGGGATTTTTCACGCAATTACCTAAATGGTTCTATTCCTGAAGTTTTGTCTCGCCTGCCTTTGGTCCAGTTGTAAGTTCAAGCTTCAGTTGCTTCATGTCTATCTATCTAGATGTCCATCTAGTGAAATATTTTTGTGTTACAAAGATGTTCATGGTATGGTGAAGTTTGTTTTCATGTTACGGCTTTCTGGATGTTTGGTGCCCTTCTTGTTGGCGTGTGAAAAACATTTGAATGGGTAAATTCTTTGTCTATTTGTCAAGGGTTGAAGGAACATTTTCATTTCAATATATATGGATATTTCTTAATGGCTAACGATCAAAGACGACAGATACCCAGGTCCTTCATAGGGAATATCCTTTCTATCCTTTACAAATGACATAGGACGGACTCATTTGGTAGAGTTCAAATGGCCAGGGGATTTTGGGGTCCAAAGGTTCCAAGCACAGTAAAAAACTTCACAATACTGTATCTGTAGAAAGTTCAGAGTATGCACCCATGCAGTTATTCATGTAGTGATTTCGTCATGCACTTGATTATTTCATTGCTAGATTTACCAATGATTTTGTAGTGCCAACCCAAGGCAGGGGTTGGATATCCAAAACATTAAATGGCTAGATTTTCTACCCATGTACATGGGTGCTGGTAGAGAAAACATAGGTATAAAGAGAAAACCTGTATGCATCTGTGTGACTTGAATTTCCACCCTTTTAAATTATTGCTAAAAGACAAAAGTACTTATGCTAACAAAGTGCAACATTTATACTGTGAAGTTGACATGACAAGAAATGCATCTTTGTATTTACATGTGTGTGAATGTGTATTTATTTGCGTAAGATTTTATTTTGTGTATATTTATTAATATGCATTTGCATGTGTACAGACACACAAAGACACAAAGTCCCACATAATTGTGGCTATTTATAATGCGTATGTACTTGTATATATATCGTTAAATGTGTGGATGCCTGCTGTGTATGTTTTTGGCAACATGGTTTTCATGTTTTTGCTTGATTTGGATGCTTAGAATTGGTGTGAATTTGATAGGATTCCTCGCCATGCAACCATTTGTCCTAATTGAATCCCCCAAATTATTGTAGGTCCCTTTTGGGAAACAGATTATCTGGGCCAATCCCGAAGAAGTTTGGAGACATGAAGAACCTTACCGAATTGTATGATTGTACTGATTATTGTTTCACTAATACCTTTGTTTATATTAGTAGGCCACCTAAACATTGACAATGTGCAGAGTTGTTGAGGCAAACCAGCTGGGCGGCATTCTTCCAGAAGAACTTGGACACTTGAGCAATTTGGAGAGACTGTATATTTTCCTTTTTCCTTGCATACGTGATTTAGATGAACTTCCCTTATTGTGCTCTATAGGTTGAACACCTTGGGTAGTTTATGTTAACGTCAGTGCTCACTGTTGTTTAAAATATGCAAGCTTCATAATTATTTTTTACTCATGTCATTCGAAACTGTTTAACAATTTTTTTTGTTGGAGCATTACTTTTGTTTAACTTGTTTCGATTATAAACACAACACCTGGGGTGAAAATTTCAGTATCCTTTCTTCAAATGAATTCACCGGAGAGTTGCCGACCACATTCGCCAAGCTTACAAATTTAACAGACTTGTAAGTAACATAAGGGTTCAGTACATTTTCTTTCTTTGAAATTTCAGAGTCTTACAGTTGGATTTGTATTTGCAGTAGTATTAATGGGAACAATATTTCTGGCACCATACCTGGTTTCATTGGGAACTGGACGAAACTTAAGAAATTGTGAGCACTTCCTTTTTTTTCTCCAGCTTTTTCTCTTTTTAGCACTTTGGTCAACGTGGCGACATAATAATTAACAAGAATGGTGACATGCTGACGAGATTCCTTATTGTTGAGTCAATAAAATATAGATGATTAAGATTGTTTAAAAACAAATGGTGGATAACAATATCTGGATATTTTGTTAGAGAAAATCAGTAATGTTACACTTGGCTAGAAATAGAATGCAAAGCGGAGTCATATCATTTATCAGTGAGTCCCTGTCTTCAATTAAGTTGATCGCAGCAACATTATATTGCTAGCTCCTTTTATTTGTCTTACTAATTATCTTTCTGGATTAATCGCCACCTTTAGGCTCGTCAATATATTTATGATTTTGATGCAAGTTATTATTATTTGAAAATGTAGAATCTATACAGTGTATCCTATGACATCTGTACCATCATTTCTTTGCAGAATAATCAGTGGTACATCCATGGAAGGACCAATTCCTACAACCATTTCTTCCTTGGAAGATATGGAGGACTTGTAAGACATCAAGAGTAATGTTGATGCAAGAGTCACTTTGATTAATTTTTTCTTTGGTTTTTTTACCACAAACTTGGTGTTGGGCCTGATTAGTTGGCTTTGAGATCTCGACATGCAGGAGGATCACTGACCTAAGTGGGAAACCTTCTCCTTTCCCTCCATTGGAGAAAATGAAGAAGCTTAGGAAACTGTAAGTTAAAGAGAGTTGCTCTTCAGCTCCGTGGCTTTACAGGACCTTTAGTTACAATGCTTGACAGATATGAAATATGATATGGCTGTAACCCTTCAGGATTCTAAGAAACTGCTTAATATCTGGTGTCATCCCACCATACATAGAAGAAATGAAGGATCTAAAAGACCTGTAAGTTGATTTCTTTTCTAGAAACTCGATGCTACTATTGGAGTCTTCTTTTCTAGAAACTCGATGCTACATTGGAGTCTTTGAATCAATCTTCAACTTGAAATACTTAATGGTTCAATGCTGGCTACCACTACATAATGGCCATGATTGAGCTTATATGCATATGCATTGTGCCCAAGAAAGAGATTTTTATTTTAATATTCTTTTTGGGCCCGTTTGGCTCATTGGATTCAGATTTCCAAAAATTACGTTTCCTGGAAACTGTCACACCCCAAGAATTTACAATACTGTTATTCCTGAGATGTGACAGACAAAACATATATACATCTATTGATAGGACAAATTTACAGTGGCGATGTCTTACAAAGTAAATAAAGAAAGCTAGTACAACAGTTTCTTTCAAGGTTGAT